TCTCTGGATGCTCCATCCGAAGCATTTGTGGACCTTGGCACTGCTTGTGGCACTGCTGTGGGGGATAGTGTCTGTATCAATATATATTAGAGTCTATAATGCTTTACTTTTACTTTACCTTTAATATAGACTCTAATATATATTAATATAGACCTGAATATAGACTCTATTTTACAGAGAGGCAGGATATTAATAATAATAATAATAATAATAATAATAATAATAATAATAATAATATGCACTATTTCTGGCAGTCTGTAAAGGCCCTATATTAATATATATTAGAGGCTATATTAATATACACTATATTACAGAGGAACTATGGTCTGAAGCGAGGGACATAATAAAAGAAGAATGCTGACAGACACTTTCAATAAACAAAAAGAAAAAGAAAAATCATGGATGACAGAAAAAACACTACAAACAATAAAGAGAAGAAGAGAAGAAAAACAAAAGGGAGATAGGAACAAACTCAGGATTATGAATGCAACAGTACAATGGCTTGTGTAGAAAGATAAAGAAAATTAGTACAACAACCAATGCAGAGAAATAGAAGACAACAACAAAAAAGGGAAGAACAAGAGATCTATTTCACAAGATCCAGGAAATCAAAGGAAAATTCAAACCAAGGATTGGGACAATCTATGAAAATAAAAATAACATAATTCAAGACCAGGAAGGAATTAAAAGATGTTGGATGCAATACACAGAATTATACAAAAGAGGTAACAAAATGAAGAACACATGGAATAAAGAGCCATATAAAGGTGAACCTCGAATCCTAAAAAGTGAGGTGGAAACAGCAGTAAGAGAAATAGCAAAAAATAAATCACCAGGAACAGATGATATGCCAATTGAACTGGTGCAATCCACATTGACAGAGTCAACTCTAGTGCTAATCAACATATGTCAACAGATATGGAAAACAGAATGATGGCCAACAGATTGGAAGTGATCAATATACATCCCCATCCACAAGAAAGGAGACACAAGAGACTGCACTAACTATAGAACTATAGCACTAATCTCCCATGCAATCAAAATCATACTCAAAATTCTGCAACATAGACTCCAACCATACATGGAGATAGAAATCCCAAAAGTCCAAGCAGGGTTCAGAAAAGGAAGAGGCACTAGGGATCACATTGCA